AGCACCACAAACAAACAGAATTCAAATATATTAAATATTTGTTAAGTTATAGAGTGTTTCCAACAACCGATTACACACTGTATATATAATATACTAGCTGTCCCGACACGGCGTTGCCCGCGTATTAGTTGGTTTTTTGGCATTTTCGTAGGCCATGTATTAGTGTTATTATGTATGAGAAAATTTAAAAGTAATAGGTAAAGTATCTAAATGTTGAAATTAAGTACAAACCAACATATATATTTTCTGAATTTACATTTTATTCATCTTATATTAAATTATTGTTTGTAATCAGTGACCTACTTACAAAATATACTATATGCATTAAAAACATACAAAAATAAATTAAATTATTAAAACAAAAAATTATCTAAGTACTACTTTGTGTACAACATTCCTGGTTAACCTGTCTTTCGCTAACACGAAGAGATTAACGACGACGCGATTAACTCGATAATGACTGACTCGGTCAGATTGTTGCGCTTTATATTAATTGATGAATACGTCGTACCGAACTTCGCATTTTACACCTTTGAACTAGAGGTCTTAATGGAACACGTGTTTTTTTGCACCCGTGTATCCGTGACACGGATTCACGGATATATATTTCGAATAAACACGTATTTCACGTGACACGTGAATTCCGTGATGACATTCACGTGAATTTACAAAATACGGGAATTCCGTGATTTATATTCACGTGATCCGTGATTCGTCTGATTTTTAAAGTTTTTATCGGTTTTAACAATAATGACTATAGTTAGATTAGATAGATATTACGTATAATCCCATCTTTTTCGATAGCCAGTACATAATACTGTTAGTAGGTACTCATTTATTTATAAACGTACCAAAACCCTACATTTTATAAGTTATCTCTCATTGTACCGCATAACGTTTATGCATGTCGCATGTGCTCTACATTTTCTATTTCTATTTCTTATTCAGTATTATACTATTATATCCTATTCAACCGTAATCGGAGTCTCATATATTTTTTAACTTGATTGAAAATTGAGACAAAAAAATAACTTCTTGTAATGGGCAATAAAAAATCAAGTTGGGTTTGGCAATATGCAAAAAAGAAAGGAAATATTGCATACTGTCTTTTGTGTGATGAGAATGAAAATAATGAGTTTGTTTGCAATGGAGGTACAACAGGATCCATTGGGCGACATCTGGTGGCGATTCATTCCATGAGTAATGGAGTAAAAGAAAAAAGGAGGTAAATTTACATTATTATTATACCTAACCAAATCTAGTACTGTGATTCACTGATTTTCGATTTCCGATTTATAATCGATATTGTCGTAAAAAAAAATTGTGTAGCTAAGAATTTAAAATGTAATACAAGGTAGTCCATAGTTTTGCTTACAATAATTGTAGAAAAAAATCTAATCAAACTAAACTGAACATTTTCACGATTTGTTTTTGAATTCCAACAAAATAAGGACATGAGAAATCGAGTGAATATCCAATATTGTAAAATTATGAAATTCAAACGATCGTTAAAGTATAACTTGACTTTTTTGTAGACATTTTTTTTTTTGATGAAGGTAGAAAAACTGATGAAGAATCTTGTTTTACATTTTAAAATCTTAGATTTAAAAAGAAAATTTTTTATGAATTTCTAACTAATAATAATTTGCAAATTTTCGCGATTTTTACGTATTTTGTCAATATTTGAACTTTAAATGCTTATAAAAAAAAATAGCGACTAAGGATTTTTAATATTTTTCATCTGCAGTTGAAACAATACATTAGGAGCCTTCTATTACATTTTCAAGATTTTTTACGCAACAAATAAAATGTTATTGATATTTAAAAAAAAAACTTATAAAATTTAAAAACTTAAAATGTCCGGCATCAGTTCAAAAAAAGTCAAAACACTTTTAAAATGTAACCCTGTATAGACTATAGACAACGTTAATATAAACATTTGGTGAAAATTTCAAGTGTTTACATAGTAATTAATTTTTGAGTTACAGTAAAATTAAATTTTCGTTTTTGTCGAAAATCGCTTTTGCGTAAAAATTCCCATTTTTCCGTTACTTTTTTAAGGTTTTTCCCACCGCTTTTGAAAAGTATTGGAAATTTTTCACTTTTGACCACCCAAAGTACCAACTAGATTCACTTTCCTTTCAGAAACGGTACTACTTTTGAAAATCGAAACATTATTACTGCTCCAAATGTTGTCGTTAAATACAAAAAAAAAAAAACTAAAAAACTAAAAAAACACATCATTGTAAAATCAATACATTCATCGCTCCGCTCAGAATCTAAAATAACAATTATAATCAAATATTTAATAATTGTAAGATATTCAATACCTATATCTAATAGGTATAAACTAAAATAATAGTGTAAATACTAATTAATATGATGGCTTTAAGAACAACTTATTAGAAACTTTGTATTAAACTTTGTATCTATTTAACAGACACATATCTGACTCAGAAAATGAGATGCTTGAGACTATAAATGACTTACAACCTATAACAGAAAATTTGAATAGCCAGTCTACAACCTCATTAAATGATTTTGACCAACCAAGTACTAGTTCTTCAAATATTAATTCTGATTCAACGTCAAATATCAATTTTATTTCAAATTCTCGAATTAGGCGAAAGCGCCATAAACTTAATAAACAAAATACCACGTCAGATAAATTGCTTCGCCCTGAAAGAACTGAAGAAATTCATAAAGCACTTTCAAAAATGATAGCTATGAACCAGATGCCTCTTTCATTTTGTTCAAGTCCGGGTTTTAAATACTTCATGAACGTTGTTGATCCTAATTATAAACCCTGCTCTGCAGAAAGTGTAAAAAATCGTTTAAAATTATTAACAAGTGACATAAAACAATTAATCAAAAATGAATTAAATGAAGTAACAAGTGTGTCATGTACAACAGATTGCTGGACTTCAATATCTCAAGAGTCATATATGACAATTATCTGTCATACTATCGATCAACATCATAGGCGTGCGCACGGGTGCAGCAGAAGGTTCATATGCTGCATCTGCCACATTTTTTGGGCCGATTGATTAGTTTATGGGCCGGTCGGGGCAATTCATTATTTAATAATTTAATATAAATTATAATAATATTAAAAAGTAAAGAAAATTGATGTGAAACATTAAATAATTATTTTTAACATTGAGTGTAGACAAAGCTATCAGTTACTATTAGGTTATTAAACAAAATATAAAAATAAAATTTATATTTTAAATTATAATACTATGTATATGTTCAATGTTTTGGTTATTGTCGTTGGCCGGGAGGTGGTAGTGGTTAGCAGATTAGCTCTACTAGCTAGCTGGCGCGGCGGCCGTTCCTACTGGAAAACCTTAGGTACGTTCTAAAAATAACTCAGTAATCGACTGAATAACCGCAATAATCAGAATATCGAATTTCTATATGATGACCGATAATAAAGTATCATTATACAATTTTTATTGTAGTCTCTTGTTGGTTGTTGCAGACTTAGTAAAGTTATTAACTATATTATATTCAGTGTGGCGTGATATTATTTGAATTATGATTTATGAATCTTAAGTTGTTATTATTCAGACGACCGTGATTGTTTTCTCCGCGAAACTGCGTATTCGTGTGTTGTATTCATATATTTTAATAGTGACCATATTTCTTAAATTTAAACTTCAAACATGAGTAAATGAGTTCGATAAATAAAACAACAAAAAAACAAAAAGGCGGAGCTGTTAAAGTTTGTGAATTAAAAAAAATTAAACTTCAAAATGCTGCTCAATCCTGCTATAATATTAAAAATTTATTTCAAAAATCAGCAGATGGATTAAAAAAAAATATTGATATTCTTATAAATCAAGATGTTATTGTAAATGAATTGCAAAATGAAGATGTTGACAATCCTGATCCTATAGTAAGTTAATAGTACCTATATTATTTAATTATTTTTATTTTTATTTATTTTAAATATTTATATAAATTATATTTATGTTGTTTCAAAAACATATAAATTACAAAATAAATATTTCTAAAATTTACCTAGTATAATAAATAATCGCAAGTAAAATGGTTTAGTTAGGAATTAAGATATTTAAATTTTTATTTTTTGTAAATTGGTGTTGGGCATATAAAAAAAAACTATCTCTTGAGATTATAATACAAAATATTTTCCTTTAGAACTAATATATTTTTAAATTGTGTTTTATACTTGATATTTAATGTCATATAAATCAACTTTTTTTTGTTTTTATTATTATTATGATATTGATATAGATATCAATACTAAATTAATAATGTTGTTTAAATATGAATTTTTTTTTATTAAATTTATAATAATTAAAAATTATGTTATTTTAGAATAATGCATTTCAAAATGATACCAGTACAGCTATTAGTAGTCATATCTTACCAGAATTTAGCGAGTCACAAATTGTATTAACTAAAAGTGTGATAGAAAATGTAGATGTTGACTGTCCTGCTTCTAAAGTATGTTTTTGTTTTTCTGTATAATGATTCAATTTATAATTTTTTATTAAATGTAAAATTATATTTAATTTGTAGGATTGCGTTGAACAGGAAAACAATATGAAAGTGTGTACAGAGGTTAGTCAAGTTCAATTAAGTGAGCCTGATTCAAATATTGATGAAAACTATTTGAAAGCTCATGGAATTCTAAGTTCTAAAGTTAACGACCCTTCCAATAAATTGCCTTCCAATCGCTTAGAATTTAAGGAAATTATTAACCGTGGACCCTGTCGCCCTGTATTAAAACTATATCCTAGAACATTACAAAGTAACAGTCAAAGATCTTTTCAAAAATCTTGGTATGATAAATTTAGTTGGCTTGAATATAGTACAGTCACTGATACAGCTTATTGTTTCGCATGCAGATGTTTTGCTGGAAATGAAAAAAATAAAGGTCAAATAGATACAGCATTTACAGTGAAAGGATTTAAAGGCTGGTATAGAGGAATTCAATGTTTACAAACTCATCAAACATCCTTAGCTCATTTAAATAGTGTAACAGCATTAAACAATTTTCTTTCTGCCAAGTCTATAGATGAAGTTATTAATGAAAGTGTCACACAGCAAATAAGTAAACTAGAAAATGAGCGTTTGAATAATAGAAAAATCATGTGGCGCCTTGTAGAAGTAACTGTGTGCCTTGCCAAATGTGGTAAACCATTTCGAGGTCATGATGAGTCTTCTCATAGTTTTCAAAAAGGACTTTTCAAAGAATTTGTCGAGTTGTTGTCCAGATATGATATGGTGCTACAAAATCATTTTGAAAATGGTCCTAAAAATGCATCATATACAAGTAACAGAATTCAAAATGATATAATTTATTCAATTCACAGTGTACTATTACAAGAGCTGAAACATAATATACAACAAGTACCAATTGCCATTATTACTGATGAGACTAGTGACGTAGGTCACCATGAACAACTATCTATTGTCATACGTTATTTTAGCACTGCTCTTAATCGACCAATTGAAACTTTTGTTGATTTGAAACGAATGATGTCAGTAACTGCAGAATCAATTTTCAAATCTTTAGAAAATGTTATTGAACAATTTAATTTAAACTGGAATTCAGTAATTGCTGTTTGTTTTGACGGAGCGTCAACCATGGCTGGTAATGTTGCTGGAGTTCAAGCTCAATGTAAAATGAAAAATGAAAACATTTTATACGTCCATTGCTATGCACATTGTTTGAACTTAACACTTATGGACGCAGTTGGTGCTAGTACTAAGAATCGTCAACAAAATAAAATGGTTTTCGACTTTTTGGGAACTGTTCAATTTATATATTCATATATTGAAGGAAGCCCAATAAGACATGCAATTTTTGAAAGAATAGCCAAAGAAAATGGCAGTAAATTGCATACATTAAAATCATCTTCACAAACTAGATGGGCCTGTCGTTCAGAAGCAGTGAAAGCAATTAAAAGTAATTACTAGGGAACGGACTTTAATGTCTTAAAAAATAAGAAAAATGTCCTTAAAAAATACGACCGTATGCCTTAAAAAAATGCTTTAATATCAAAAAATGCACAGAAAAAATGCACTAAAAAACATTAAAAATGTTATTAAATTCAATAAAAACCAAATTTTGAACAGTTTTGTGTATGTATAATATTATTAAAATTTAAAACTTCTAAAAAAATCGTCATTATAAAAAATTTATCTTATAAAAAAATATTTAAATATAGGTACACAATAAAAAAAACTTTTTCGTCTTCTTTCTTTTTTAGCCTGAAAAATGTTTTACGTTAATTAATAATTATTAATTATAGAGTTTAAATGTATTTTTATTTATTTCTTACCTAATTTATAATCTTTGTTACACTGAACAATAACATGGTGTTTAATATTTTCAAATAAAAATCTTCATTTTCAAATTTTTGATATATGGTTTTCCCTATTTTACTTTTATCTATTCCGATTTCGTTCCTTAATTTTTCAATAATACAGACTGCATCAGCCAACAATAATCCAGATGTTTCTAAAGTTGTTATATATTTCGGTAAGTTACCATAGTTAGCCTTTATAAATGCTAGATCAAATTCCAAACTATTATCGGTGAATAATGTTTGTGCATTTTCAATTGCAACAGCGTCGCCTTTATCGAATTCCATTACAACGGATTTAATTAATTGGTAATGTTCACAATAATATATAGCTGCCACTAACCATGTACCCCACCTAGTTAATATTGGTTGAGGTGGCATAGGAACTTCTGGCGCTTTTTCTGTAAATTTTAGTACTCGAGATGAACATTTTACAAATATTTTTTTAACATTTGATATTAAAGCATCTACTTTTGGAAAATGTCTTCGCACTTCTTCCGCAACCCTATGTAGGCCATGTGCCAAACATGTGACATGTTCCATTTTCGAATAGAGAGCTTTAATATTTTTCCCGGCTTTGACCATATAAGGCGCTGCGTCACTGACAAATAATAGAATATTATCGTGTTTAACTCCCTCTGGATATAATAAACGCATGGTTTTGTCAAACAATTTCACAATTGTACTATTGTTTGTTTTTTCTAATAATTCCATATTAAATAAAAAAGTTTTTCCGGGGCACCCAAGTTCCAAAGTACCAATAACTACGTTGGCAACAAATCGGCCTTCTACGTCAGTAGTTTCGTCAATACTTATCCACAATTTTTTATCTTTTAAATAAGCCCTTATATTATTAATTGTGTCGTTGTAACAATTACTCACATAATATTTTCTTATTGTGGATTCATCTGGAATGGTTTGGCCTGTGTGTTTAAACAGAAAATTGCGAAACTCAGGATGTTTCAATTTAGAAATAGGTATATTGGCTGATAACATCATAGAACATAGTTCTGAATTAAATGAACTATTTGTCGTCGTATTCAAAAACATTTGAGTTTTTTCGTTGTCTTCTTTTTCTTTCTTTCTATTCAATGCACGTAAATGTTTATCTCGGCTGATATGTTGAGTAATAGTAAATTTTTTTTCTGCTGCAACTTTAACCTCGCAAACCTTGCAAAATAAAATTTTTCCATCGGTGGAAAATATATTTTCACCGAATTCTTGTACATACGCACGCAAACGACAACGGTCGGACGGCTTAATTTTCGGCATATTTCACACTTATTCGAACTACGATAGCAAACACGACTAACGACTAACGACTCTACGAGTACCTACCTACTAATAATCGGACACGACAACGACTAACGACTCTACGAGTACCTACCTACTAATAATCGGACACCAATTAGTTTTATATCGCATATCGTAACGTTATCGAAATTATTATTTGATGGGAATTACGTATAGTCGTATAGATAGATACAATCAGCCGATCTTCGTAAAAATAACTAAAATTTTATAATTCCAAGCAACAAATATTTAATATATATGAAAAATGACTTAAAAATGGAAAAATGCTCTAAAAATGTCAAAAAATGCTTTAAAAACTTAAAAAGTTTAAAAAATGCAAAAAAAATGCAAAATAAAAGTTTCAATTTTAAATTATCTGATGTATGAATCGAATTTTACACTTAGAAAGCATTGCCCTATTCTACCCACTAAAAAATGTATTTTGCATCAAAGTCCGTTCCCTAGTAATTACAATGTTTTGTTGGAAGCGTTGGAAGAAATAACTGAAAAATGTTTAATTTCAGAAATAAGAGCTAAAGGCAAAGGTATTTTACATCAAATGAAAACTTTTGAATTTATTTTTTGTTTAACTATGATGCAACCTATACTAGAAATGATTTTAAAAGTAAGCGCCGTCTTACAAACTGAAAACTTGGATCTTTTAACAGCCATGTCTATTGTAAAATCATTAAAATCCTCTTTGAGTTCTATGAGAAACTCTCCTCAAGATGAAGAATTTCATAAGGTCTTTAAAAAAGCTGTTACAATGTGCGAAGAAAATAATATTATTATACCAAAAATTAAGAATAGAAAAGTTTCATGTAAATTGGACAATACACCATTATCACAGCATACATATAAAACACAAAATGAGTATATTAAAATAGAAGTATATTTTTCAACATTAGATATTTTGGTGAATTCTATGAATGAAAGGTTTCAACAAGAAACTGTTGATATTATTTGTGCAGTAGCTAAATTAATCAACTTAGAGTTTAATATTGAGTCTTCAAATTTATTCCAAAGGTTTTTTCATGTAGTTGCAGAAAATTTAGAAGCAGAGATTACAATTTTGAAAAATATGAAAGATACGCCTAGACCTATAGGAAATTCAGTGAGTACTATACATGAATGGCTTGATTGGTTGTCAATAAAAGGAAGAGCAGATATTTTTAAACAGTTTCTACAAGTATTAAGGATATTTGTTGTAATACCTGTGACCAGCTGTTCATGTGAAAGAACTTTTTCAAAATTAAGCATCATAAAAAATAAATTAAGAAGCACAATGTCTCAGGATAGGTTAAATTCATTATTGTTTCTGTTTGTTGAACAAAAAATGACTGCTAACGTTAATATTGATGAAGTAATTGACCAGTTTAAATTAATGGTACCAAATGATAGAAGACTTGTTTTATAATAAAAAAAAATTGGGAATTATTACTATTATTACTATTATAATTATTATTATCATCATAATTAAATATATCATTTATCACTACCTATTTTAATGTGCAATGTATTTTATTTAATTAATAAAAAATAAATTGACTAAGTATTTTATGATTTTATATAGGTAATATAACTAATAAAGTCTGATAGTAATTGTAACTTGGTGTTTTCAAAAGCAGTGAACAAATGTAAGGCAGTGTGTTACATTTGTAAATTGTTGTAAAAAAATATATAATTATATTATTATTGCCACTTAGGTAACAATAACACTGCCTGTGTATAATATGATCAATAATTTTGACTATTTAACATTTATTTGGCCGATTGTTAAAAAATGGGCTGCTTAATTTTATATGCTGCATCTGCAATGAAAGTCTGCGCACGCCTATGATCAACATTGGAAACCAAAATCATATACATTGACAACTCATGAAGTTAGTGAGCGACATACAGCCGTAAATTTAGCACACCATTTAAAAAAATCACTTATAGAGTGGGAAATCGAATAAAAAATTAGTTCAATTGTAACAGATAATGCAGCAAATGTCATCAACGCTGTATCACAGTTAGAATTAAACGATAACATGGAAAAATCTGGATTAACGTGTGCAGCACATTCTTTGCAGTTGGCTGTTAATAAAACTCTTTTGGACGATGAAATTCAAAGTGTTTTAACAAAATCAAGCAAAATTGTGTGCCATTTTAAACATTCATCAATATCAATGAAGAGTTTGGAGAAAACACAGCAACAACTTAATTTACCAAAATTAACTCTTTTACAATATTGTAAAACGAGATGGAACTCTAGTTTTTTAATGCTAGAAAGACTGTATATTAATAGAGCACCTATCACAAATGTTCTCGCAGATCGTAATATAACAGCATCTAATATTGCCTAAAAATTAGAAATTACAGAGTCTGAATGGTTAATTATTGAAAAATTATTGGTACTTCTGAAACCATTGCAAGCTCTCACTACTTTATTTTGTGGAGAATTAGAATCTTCTGTTTCAATGGTACGACCTTTAATTCACAAAATTGTAACTTCCCATTATGAACATAGTATCGATGATGACAATATAACGGAACGATTTAAAAACAAAATTTCATATCAACTGACCACGCGTTTTGAATTGACATGGAATGAAATTGTTACTGCAAGACACGTCGCTTCTTTTCTAGATCCAAGATATAAAGATATGGATCATGAACCCGTAAGAGCTAGAGAGATAATCCGATCACATGTCTTGCAGCTCATTGAATCAGTTGCCCCAACTACTACAAATCTTAATGATACAGAAGAAAGCGATTTGAAAATGAGTAATGTGTTAGCATTTATTTACAAAGACCATACTAATAGTACAAATGATGCATCTACACAGTTAACGGGATATCTTTCAGAACCTCAACTTCGATTTGACTTAAATCCCTTAGAGTGGTGGAGAACACGAGAAGAAAAATATCCAGCAATAGCAACTATTGCCAAAAAATATTTAGCAATCCCATCAACATCGGCAAGTTCAGAGAGGTGCTTCTCAACGGCAGGTAACATTGTGAATCCAAAAATAAGTTGCCTTCTTCCTGAAAATGTGGATATGTTGGTATTCTTATACCAAAACAGAAAATTATATTTCTAGAAATTAGAATTATAGACTATAGTTCTTGTTATGTTTAGTTTAAGTATTATTATTATTATTATTATTATTATTATTATTATTGGTTATATCCACCTGTGAATAAGGTTGATAATTTATATTAAACGTTTAATAAATTACGTTATTAATTATATTATTTAGTCTTCATTATTTCTGCAATTATAAATTTCTTTTATATAAACGTGTATTTCACGTGTAGGATTTATAAATACACGAAATTCACGTGTAGGATTTTTAAATACTCGAAATTCACGTGAATTACGTGAACTACGGATTACACGGTTTTCATCACGAAATTTTTAATTTCACGTGTACACGTGTAATCCGTGTACACGGGTAATAAGAGCTCTACTTTGAATATTTCTCGAAAATTCTATAACTTTCTTCATTACAACAATTGCAATGCAAAAAATAATATTGAGATAAAAACCATCCTATATATTATGGAGATAATTCTCGGAACAATTCATATCTACACGCCACCGACGATAAAACACATACAAAAGAAAAAAGGTCAGGTTACAAATAGATACAATTATCGCGGTCGGCCACGGAAAAACCCGAAATACACCATGCAATCATACAAATTTATTAAAAAGTTAATTAAAATATTTAATGTATTAAAAAATTTGAAATAAAAACTATCCTATCTTTTAAGTTGGACCAAATTACACGCGGTGTAAAAAATTTCATCAAAATCGGTTAAGTGGTTTAGGAGTCCATTGAGGACAAACATTGTGACACGAGATTTTTATATATTGAGATATACACATATAATCGTATTTCGTACGCTATCGAGACGATGAGGTCGCGGAGGCGTCCGAGGGTGGAGACACCGAAAACAAAAGGACGCGTAATCGATACGGATAAACGACTTATCGTATCGTAAAAAAAAAAACACTAGTGACGATACGACGACCGACCGGAGAACGCGCCGCGAGTACGCTTTTTTCGGACGCGACGGCGACGGCCGCGAACGAAATTTGGAGACGCGCGGACCGGACGAAAAAGACCCATTCTGGGCTATAGCGTCGAGAACGCGACGGAAAGAGGTCTCGAAAGGTCGGAAAACCGGGCGAAAAGCGTAAAGAACGGTATATAAAAACAATAATAATGAGTAATAAGCAATAACTCAACCGATAACGACGACGGCGGGAGATAACGATAACGACGACGGCGGGAGATGACGATAACGACGACGGCGGGAGATGACGATAACAACGACGGCGGAGATATCGGATAAGGACTGGAAGAAAAAAATTGTAATTTTTCGATTGGTCGGGACACTAAACCTATCGGCCCGTGTAGCAACTATTCTTCGTTTTATATTATAAGCATAGACCTTATACTCATAGACGGAGCATCCAGGTGGGATGCGGGTGGGTGGTGCGGTCATTTCTAGCTTGCCAACAGTGATGCCATTCCTTGAGATCAAAAACATTGTTATTAACACTTACCATATAATTTGTTTTGTGGTGTCTGAATTTGAAATTTGAGTTTTTTGCAACATATTTATACATATTTCCTACTTTGCATATTTTTTTTAATTTATAAATTTTTCTGTATATTTTATATTTTTATATATTCTTTTAAATATTATATATTTATATACCTTAATATGTACTTTTGTACATATTAGTTGTAGGCTACACAACCTGGTTTGTTGATTGAGCATGCGCAGAAGTGTTCAACAACATGTGCAGCGCACCCTATTCTCACTGCGGGAACTACTAGCAAGCTCCGTCTATGAGTATAAGGTCTATGATTATAAGAAGATTATTTCTTCTTCTTATTATTATTATTATTATTATTATTATCACCACGACGAAAGTGATTGTGATATCTGTTATTCTATTATCAATCATTGTATAAACTGTTAATACTTCGTCGTTGGTGATACGTTAATTTGTACGTTTTAATATTATATTTGTGTAATCCATACTTTAAATACGGCTCAGATGTTTGTGTTTTGTATGGTCACCTCTCTTTAAGCAATTCTCCAAGTTTATTCCCAGTTCATCTTTCGGTGGTGTAGTCATCAAGGCCAACCACAGATTTGTAGGAGCCTCGTGGCTAAACAGGCGTAGTGATCGATCAGAAAAATGACCTTAACCGTATAGGAACTGAACATGGTGTACTAAAAGGTTGGCATGGTTCTGGAAATATACAATCAGCCACATCAAACTTCATTGACATCGAGCAAGTGAATAAGACAAAAGAAATGTCATTAAGAGAAATTGTCTCTTCTTTAACTGGAGGTCAAGGTTTTTTTAGTTGTTATTGTAAAGGCAAATGTCAAAATAAAAAATGAACTTGTTTTAAAGGTAATTTAAAATGTAATTCTCGTTGTCATAACTCACAAGCATGTCTAAATAAATAATAGTTTGTATTAAAGTATTATAATATTATAATATTTGTAAAACATTTACTGAAAACTAATAATTTAATTAAACTTTTAGGATTAAAATATATAATATATAATAATAAAATTTTTTTTAAGTTTTGCTATATGGACATCCAAATGACGGAACAAGTTCCGTTGACGATAGTTTAGGTATCCATTTCACGAAATATTATCCATATTGTGTAATTACGTGAAGTGGAGAAACTACAGTAGTATGTATTTGTATGTTCACAGCACTTTTGGGCAGGGAGATTTTTAAAGTTTAAGGGGGAATATCTCACTTGAGCTCATTTTCGTCTCCGTGTAATACAAAAAACAGATATTATTTTAAAACATATTCATGTTTTTTCAAAAAAATTTAATTCCATGTAATACAAATTATAATAATTCTAAAAAACATTATATAGAATGCGATCTGGTTAAAATAAAAACAAAAATATATATATTTATTAATACATATATGTTAATTTATTTAGTATTTTTTTTTAAAATCTCAAAACATTATTACACAAGTTTTCTTACTTCTCTAGTAAAAGGTACATATTCTACAATGCGATTATGAATTAATAAACAATAAGCAGTTACACCTGTAACAGATTCTGACGCTTCGATTTCCAATTGAACATCTACTGATGAAGCCGTAACCGAATCATTTTGTTTTGAAGTATCAACAACTATAATTGGTGCATTTGATAGAAAAGTAGAAGGACTTAATATCGGGTTCCGAATACTTTTTTCATAGTACGATTCTTGAACGATGTATACATATCATATTATAAGGTGAAATTATTTTTTGCAAAATCTAAATTTAAATTATCATACGGATAAGCAATCGAGTTTAAAAAAACTTTAACGTTTGTTAAATTACAATGATCAAAATACACTACAATCTTTTGTTAATACATTTTTACGTCCCTTCTGCAATCCGATTATAATAAATTGAGGTTTTTCTAATTTTAAAGCAGTTTTCAAGTTCCATACAACTTTTTTAGTGGTTCCAAGTTCAGGGTATTCGAAAGTTTCAAAAGACCTGAACGGGATAAACAAACTTTTTTCTTTTTCTATAAGTTTTAATAATTTCAATCTTTCTTTATCATCAACAGTGATATGTGGTACCTTCCAAATTATTTTATTCAAAACGACTTTTACAGAATTAGTATTTCTTCCATCTTCATGTTCAACTTTTATTAAAACATTCAGATCACTATGACTTCGAGTTAATATTAGTTCTAATCTAGAATTAACTTATATTTTTTTAAAGTCTTCGAACAAACCTAACCAATATTTCAGTGGAATGCAAGCACTAAATTCACCATTTGCGTTTGCGGGGTTTGTATTATTTTTAAAAATTCAACCTGCATTTCCATAACAGTTATAGTTATCTGGTGTACATGATAGATAACCTTTCAACGAGCTGATTATACCTAGTACTCGAGTACTATCTACTTCTATTCCATTGATTTCAAGTCGTATTTGTTCAAAGAGATATGAAAAACCGTTATTAGCAATTTTTACTTCACTAGCTTCTGATATTTTACCTTCTAAAAAAATAAAACTCTCATGCAAATACGGATAAACATCTGTTTGCTGGATTGATATTCGTATTTCATCATTATTGTTAAATGAAGTCGTATAAGGTGTATATGAATGATATTCAATTTTCGTAATTTTAGAATCTGTTTCAAACCTCGAACTTATATCCAAAATATCGCTTTCAGGCATTCTGTTTCAATTTATAGCCTAACGTCTTTAAAATGTTTTTATTTTTCACTGTCAATTTTTTAACTTTACTTGATGTTGACGGTAACACTTTAGTCGAATGATTAGCTAGTCTAACCTGAAGTAATGGGCTTATATTAAATTTTAATCCCAAGTCAAGATCCGTAACGTTTAATATGTAGTACAATTGTTAATGTCTCACAAAAATTATCGATTTGATTTAAATCTTGATCAACTAATTGAATAGTTATTGAATCAATATTTGTTTTGTTCAATTTATAATAAATAAGGTTTGGTGGTGATTGAACCACTTTTGTTCCAGTTTTCCCACTAGGGAAAAACTCGTAAATTGAATGAGTTTGAACGTGATTACTGAATGATCCTTGAGCAATATTACACATCACTTTTATACAGTTAATTGTGTTTAAATTCACAGCTTTTTCCGAACGCAGAATTTAAAAATCTGGATAATAGTCCCGTTTTTCAAACCCTAATAAAGGTGCTATTCCATAAACCTTATTAAACTTAATTAACCCATTACATTTTATGAGAGATCTAAAATCGTTAGGATCAATTGAAATTTCGAAAGATATAAATGTTCCATTTTCTTTATTAAAGTCTATTACTTGCTCTACAACTTGCTGGTTAATATCTTTAATATTATAACAACCTTTTTTTAGCGTAATAAAACAAATTTCCAATCCATTTCGATTCTTATCTAATACTTGAATTGCAAATTTATTATTTTCCGAATTAATATTTGGAAATAAATTAAACGTTTGTAAACATAATAAAGCTATTTCAGAGTCCTCATACACGTTTAGAGGTGGAAAAAAAGTTGTAGTCAATGTAGTATCATTCCCAGTTAAGCTTAGAGTAATCGATTCATTCATCTAAAAAAAATGAATATCAAGATCCACAACGTTTAATATGGAGAACTATAGTCAATGTTTCACAGAAATCATAAATTGGTATATTATCCCGATCAACTAATTGAATAGTTATTGAATCAATATTTGTTTTGTTCAACTTATAATATATAAGGTTTGGTGGTGATTCATTTACCTTTGTTTCTATTTCTCCTCTCGGTAAGAACTCGTAAATTGAATGAGTTTGAACGTGATTACTGAATGATCCTTGAGCAATATTACACATCACTTTTATACAGTTAATTGTGTTTAAATTCACAGCTTTTTCCGAATGATAAATATTATAATAAGATCCATAATATTTTCGGTTTCTAAACCCTAATACAGAGCCTATACTGTTTGGATCCGTAAAGTTTAGTGTTCCGTTACATTTTATAAACGATCTAAAATCGATAGGATCAAGACTTACATCAAATGTTAAATCAATTTGATATTCATTATTGAAGTCTAAAATCGGTTGTTTAATTGTATTGTTAATATCTGTAATGTTATAATATCCTCTTGGGAAATTGAATGAAAAATAATAATCAAAAAACTCTATGTCTATCCTATTATTTGTTGAAATTATGTTTGGAAATGAATTGAACGTTTGTAAACATAATAAAGCTATTTCTGAGTCTTCATTAACGTTTAAAGACGGAAAATAATTTGTAGTCAATGTAGTATCATTCCCGGTTAAACTTAGAGTGATTGATTCATACATTGTAAAAATTTAAGACATAAATGTCCACAGTTAAATGAATTATAATTATGATAATTTGAATAGTTATATATGATTTTGTTTCCTTTAAAATATTTTTGTAATTCAATTGGTAGAGGTAAATCACCAAAGCTGTCAAAGTATGTAACTTTATCCTTATTTTTATAAAACGCTACCCAATGACTTCCATCGCCTGAAGATATATCCAAGTTTAATATTCCACATTCAATTTTAAGCGGTTTTTTAGGTAAGTCGTCACGTGAAAAGATTCCACGGAAATGACTAATATTAAACTCTCCAACATATTTTATAATATCTTGAGATGAAAGTGGTCTATTAGGCAGCGTATTCATCAGTTTTTTTTTTCTTAACCTATTATTCTTCAGATATAATCCACTACCTTTTTTTCTTTTTGAATTTTGTATTGCATTATACACACTAGCACTTCCAGACAGTAAACTACCAAGTGCTGATAATCCTGCAAAAATAGGTACTAAGGGAATCGCACCTCCTGTCTAACCCGGTATCAAAATCTGTCTTTTACCACTATAATTTTTCTTAACCTTGCTTTTTTTTTTCGCTGCTAATGAACTATTTTTTTTTCTGGCTTGTTTTTGTCTACTTTTATAACCCATCCCCATTTTTTGTTTAGCCTTCGTCGCATTTGTTACCAAGTAGGCAACAATTTTCTCTTTTCGAGGAGTGTCTTTAGCTTTAAATCTTTCCCAAGAACGATTTTCTAACACTTTATCAGCTTTATGCCTTTCATCTAAATTTTTACTTTTCGCGTACACTAAGTCGTGATCGCGACAAGCGTTAACTAATGGGTTTATTCCTTTATCACCACGATCTATTCGCTTTTCTAATTTCGTACCAGGACCACAAAACTGATAACCAGGAATGTGAGCTTCAAACGGAAGACTATATTTTAAATGTTGATACTCAAGTAATAAAAAAATTGTCAAAACACGGTCCGTTATTACCCGACACTATACGTGCTATTATAGTTGGTCCTAGTGGTTCGGGTAAAACAAATATAATGTATAACTTAATCACACATGAAAACGGATTAAGATTTGAGAATATTTATTTATACTCTAAAACTTCTAATCAGGAAAAATATATTTTATTAAAAAAAATAATAGATGATATAAAGGGTGCTAATTTTTTTATATTCACAGACGCTGACAAAGTTATAAAACCAAATCTAACTAAAAAAAATTCTATCATTATATTCGATGATGTATCATGTGGCCCGCAATCGATTATAAGAGATTATTTCAGTATGGATAGACATTCAGGTGCTAGCTCTGTATTTTATTTAGCACAAACATATTCTAAAATTCCAAAACAATTGGTGAGAGATAACTCAAACTCTTTAATAATACTAAAACAGGATGACACAAATTTATGTCATATATTTAATGATCATTCATCGGCAGATATGGATTTCTCAGAATTTCGGAAAATTTCTCATTTATGCTGGAATCATAATGATTACGGATTTATGGTTATCGATAAAACACGTGAAATCAATAAAGTTAGATATAGATGTGGTTTTCATTCTTTCATTAAAAAATAAAATAATTATATAAATATAGTTGTAATTTAGTTGACATCTACATAATATTGTTTTAAGTCGGAGGAAACAGTTATATTAAATTATTATTTCTAATGGATATTAGACGTGGTGTTATAGATTCTGATAACTATTTTCGTGATACATTTAAACCTTTACTCGAACCATTGAATACATTGTCAGAAAAAAATATTCCGATTATTTCTAATAAAGATGAAGATGTTTTAAATGCTAGTGATGATGATAACAAAAACTTATTGAATTCATCGTTTGATAATTTTTTTATTTTAAATCCTAAATCACGACGTTATGATAAATCTTATGGTATGCATTATGACTCAGTTAACGATCAACTTAAAATATCAAATATCCCTGTTACTTTTGAACATGGTAACTTACACTTACTCGATAACTACTATCCTTGGACTAAAAGACTTTGGTCTTTATTATGTGAGAAAGTACCAAAAAATTATAGTATATAGTGTTATCTTTAAAATTAGTTTTCATCATTAATTTACATATGCGTTAAAACATCATAATATGCGGTAAATATGCAGTAATAATTTGGAAAATATGTAGTAAAAACATGCAATTTATTAAATAAAAATAATTTAAAAACTTTTGCAGCACACTGCTATGTATTGCTGTCTTCCTGTATGTATATATTGTATACCTTCAACAAACTTTAATCTTCTTGATTTCTACTAAAAATAGAATCAAATATTTAAACAATTAGATGGGTTATTTACTGTGTTGCACTGAAGTAAGAGGTGTTTCCTTCTGTTCTCGAGTTTAAATGATCTTCGGTTGTCGGTCAAGAGATTCTTATAAATCGAGAAAGATCTCCACATCAACTGATGTAATTGAGCAAACTTGTAAAACTTAAATCATTTGTGGTAAGATCTTCAGGTAGAGCATCCATGTTGTCACTTCTCCGCCAATTATTTTGATATCTGTTTAGTATTTTAAGTCCGCTGTTTTGTTTAAAACAGTTTCAAATTTCTATACTTTTGCCCATCATTTCCCTGAGCCATTGTAACTGAACTTGAACTTTTCCAGAATATCCAAAGATTCAGCTAGAGGCATATTTTTGTAATTTTAAATTGAATCTGAAAGTACTTAAAATTTGATTTTATGTATACCAGATTACTTTTGACACATGTTTTACCAAATTTTTGCTATTTTTATACTTGAAGCGTCTTCTGAGTCAACATTTCCACAATTTCCAAATTTGTTTGTAATATTCGCAGTACAAAAGCAGATGCATTCACGTGCCCCAGCGTGTGATTACTGGCTCTGGTGGTAGGGGATATGGGGCATGTGTTTTGAATATCTGAACACGCGATGGCTTTTAAAATTTTTGACATTCGATATGATTTTTGATCATCTAAATTGTCCACGCACTCTTCAGCAGTCCATGAGACCATGCGCAGCGCACGTCACATGCACCATTTTTGAGTATAATGCATTAAGTGATTTTCCACACTAACCATATAGGGCGCTGCATCCGATAGAAATAATAACACATCGTCGTGTTTGATTCCGTCAGCCACAAAATACTGAGAGATTTATCAAAAATTTACATATAGTTGAGTGTTTGTTTTCTAATGCGTCGGTATTTAATAAAATATATCACCTGCTCTATCTTCTAGAGCTCTATTATGGCATTTTGCAATTTGTCTCCTCGGCGTCGGTATCGTTTCATCGATCGATATCCAAATTTTTTTTAAAAACACACGTTGTCTTATATTTGCCATCATTTCGTAATAATCATCAAGATAGAACTTTCTAATTG